CACACAACTTTGAACAGCCGTATTGGTCCCTAATCTCGCTTTCCCTTTAAATTAAGCTGAGAAAAGGTCACTGAGTCCAGCCATTCTAAAGACTGGCTCCGCTCTCACGCAACATTATCGACTGAGAATAATACATAACTTTATTCTGGAATCAATACGAAGTTCAGTGTACATCTTTAAGTCCTCGAACGGGTGAGGAGAGGGACTAGTAATAATTATCCATGTAGAAGGAATAATATTTTTAATAAGAAACCCATAGCCGGACTTACATGGAGCCGAATCACAAATCGACAAGCGAGAACAAGGCCCAGGACAATCGCATGAGAAGCCTCCTTCATACCCTCATTGAGCGCCCAACAGTTGTATAAGCTGTATAAGATGAGCCCAAAGAGGGAACAGTTGCTCAGATCACACAACAGGCCTTGACTGGAGACCATGACAACACCAGAGATTATTTCGATGCCTCCATACACACGCCGAATAGTGTGCGCGTTTGGTGTCCAACCAGTCCATGTTCGAAACGGAAAGACTGATGCATAACGGAAGAAGGCCTTGCGCTAAAAATAAATTGAAGTTGGTTTCGATAAATAGAGTCGGAAAAATTAGTCAAACAAATGATGTAAATATGCAATCAGCTTCGGAGCCTAAAATATTTTTGAACAGGAAACCCGAAAGTAATGGCAAGTTGACGGCAAGAACACTTTGAAAAATGCTGCTTTAAAAAATGGTGGGATCGAATTACACGGCTTGCTTTATCTCACTCAGTTTTGCCGATTACCTAAAACACGTCAAGGGTTGCAAATGGAGCAGAATAAATATACCGAGCTCAAGATGAATATAAACTTCATTCCCATTCACTTAGAACAGCACAACAAGGGCGTTGATAACATTCAGGATAGCCATGACGATCGAAAGTCATCTCCGTGAAACCAAGTCCTACAGAAGACTGATGAGTACTGTTTAAATGGAAAATGAAAAGGCACTTGCTATAGGGAGTGGGTTGCAATCGTGAAACAAACATAGTACATTAAGTAAGTATAAACGTTCAAAACATGTTTAGGTGCCCAGTTTCACATTTGGTTTTGGTTGTTACGGCTGTGATCATGCCTGATCTAGCCGGCCTCAATG